CGAAAGTAGCATCGTTATTCATTCGCAAGAACCCAGGATATTTGAGGCGATCGTGTCACCAAATATAATACAAAAGTAAGTTAAATTTAGAGAGAAAGTGTCCCACATGTGTGTTACTGTCACTAACAACGGTGGAATAAAGAAACCTTTTCGTATGGATGTGAATACGTCTAAAGAAAAGATGAATCCTCACCTACCCACTCACCTACACCCTTCCATTCTTTACCCACACCCACCCTCAAGATGATTTTAGATTTTAATTACATATATTATCGCATCATAGTCATTTTCAATATTTATAAATCTTATAATACTTTACACAATTACAAAAATAAACTCATAATAGATGAATGATAATTATCAGAAGATCATATCTCGTTCTTTTTTTCACAAAATAAACTCTTATTTCATTAATTATAAGTGAAACTATTCAACAATTGTTTCTATTAGACTTTAGTTTTGGTGGTTCCAAACATAAAGATAAAGAACTATTCTTTATTTTTCTTTAATAATAAACAAACTCCTCTCCTCAAAACTTCAATTACTAACATTAGCTAAATTAATTTCACATTTAATCATTTTATTCAGTATATTTTTTTCTCTGATCAAGAAAAATGCTTTTCAAAAACTAACGGTTACATGAAAAATAAGGACATAAAGTAATTAACATAGTATTAAAAACCATAACCAGATCTCTTATTTACTCTCGAAGAGGTGTGCGTAATGGATGAATTCCTATAAGTAATGTTTACTTTTAATTTCGTCAATCAAACAACTTCATAAAACTAATGATGTTTTAACCTTCAATTGAAGAAATGTCACGATTTCAGTTGTCAGGAAAGAACAAGAGAGAAGAGTATTTGATGAGAATGAAAATCATAAACATAGAAGTATTTTTTTCTAAAACATGAATAAATTAGGTAAAATGAAAGAAATGCATTTTTGAGTCAAGAACACAAACAAGTGTTGAGAGAAACAGTTTTATGCTCTTTTAACTAAAAGAGAAATGTCGGAAGTGATGAAAAAAAAAGAGTAAAGAAAAATTACTCATTGTTGTGCATACTTGATTTTCTTTCATTGATCACACAAAAAATAATGCGGTCTATCATTATCGTGTTTTTCATTATATCTCTTTCATCTGTAACAGGTTTGTTAGATTATCTTTTCCCTTTCCACTATATTGCAATATAAATGAATTCTATAGGGCAAACTACAGAACTACCTAATTATTCTTGTAGTGAAAATAATGTTTCTATTCAGTTTACATTATCTTCATCATCTCATTCAGCTTCGAATTCAATATCGAACTGTTCTTTACAACAATGTAATACAAGTTTGAATGGTAATAATAACTGTCTTTCATCATCAACACCTTGTTATGATTATCGAACAATAAATAATATTAGTTATTGTGCACCTGCTATTTTATGTTCAATATTAGAAAAATGTGATAATATTACACAAACATGTTTATCAAATGATTCAATATGTGTTATTAATTCATGTTGTTCATCACAAGCAGTATGCTTACCATTCTTAGCAACATTCATGTGCAAAACAGGTACGAGTACATATTATAATGAATTGACAGTAAATTATTAGCGACTTCGAGATTAATCACTCATTTTCTCATTAGTTCATGTTTTATATCAGTTCTAGTGATGAATGCTATATAGTCTATTGCATACCTATCTATAGATTATTGAAAAAACAATATTATGAATAATTCATTGTTCTGATTATGATATGCAGACAACTATGAAAGAGTTGATGCAAAGCTCATACTTTTCATTCTATTGAGTATCTATGAAGCATGGCTTGCAAAACTCATAGAGAATCGAAAAACACATCAGTCAGTGTAATTATCACAGTGGTTAATTTGAGACAAACATCGTTTATATATTTGATTGAAATTAGAGAGGAAATACAAAATATAGAAAACTGAAGATACGATAATGATATGTGAAGAGATTTTTTGCAATACATTTGACTACTATTCTCGGTTTACATAAGTTTAAGGTGATATAAAACATTCATATCAAAGACTGTCGTTTTTAGAATGACGAAAAATACTATGCAAGAATAATGAATGTTTAGTGTTTGATTATATAATGTTCTATAGTCTAAATATATAAAACTGTAACTTCTAGGATGGGTTTCTACGAGCAATATGAGTGATGCACGATATAGCCACACAGCATCTGTATTATATAATGGAAAAGTATTAGTTAATGGTGGATATAATCGTAACATTGGCTATTTAAATAGTGCTGAGCTGTATAATCCATCAGCAGGTACTTGGACAACTACTGGTAGCATGACTAATGCACGATATTATCATACATCATCTGTATTACCAAATGGGAAAGTACTAGTTACTGGTGGATACAATGGTAATACTAATATTTTAAATAGTGCTGAATTATATGATCCAGCAACAGGTACTTGGACGACTACTAGTAGCATGACTAATTCACGATGGTATCACACAGCATCTGTACTATCCAATGGGAAAGTATTAGTTACGGGTGGAGAAGGCGTTGGCAATATTTCTTTAAACAATGCTGAACTGTATGATCCAGCAACAGGTACTTGGACGACTACTAGTAGCATGGCTAATTCACGACAGTATCATATAGCATCTGTATTATCAAATGGGAAAGTATTAGTTACTGGCGGCTATAATACAAGTACTAGTTTAAACAGTGCTGAATTGTATGACCCATCAACAGGCACTTGGGCAATCACTAATAACATGAATAATGCACGAGAGTGGCACTCAGCATCTGTATTATCAAATGGAAAAGTATTAGTTGCTGGTGGATATAATACTAGTACTAGTTTAAATAGTGCTGAAGTGTATGATCCATCGACAAGTACTTGGACAAATACTGGTAACATGAATAGTGCACGATATATTCACACAACTTCTGTATTATCTAATGGAAAAGTACTGGTTACTGGTGGATTCATTGGTAATAGTTTAAATAGTGCTGAGCTGTATGATTCATCCACAGGCACTTGGATAACTACTGGTAATATGACTGATGGACGAGATTTTCACACAGCATCTGTATTATCAAATGGACTAGTATTAGTTACTGGCGGATGGAATGGTGCTACTGTTTTAAATAGTGCGGAATTATATTGATTATTCAAAACAAATTAACTTTCAATTGTCTTACTCTTTTTCTTACAAGTAATTCAAGTTTCAAACAACATTTTAGCTAGAAATACCGTCAGCTTTTGACGTTTGCTAACTATTTTCTCTGATACTTTTACTGAATTATCATTTACTTTAATATTCGATTCCAAATAAATAAAATATCTTTGTTTTTCTACTCTTATAGATTAATTTATTAGAATTAACAAAAGTTACAATTGGTACGATAACTCGAATTATCCTTTCAAATGTTCTCTTGATTTTACAGTGTCGTATCTCATAATATTCAATTATATTGATAGTATTCATTGGATTTAGAATATATGATTATCGAAATATTTCGCTTACAAAAAGACTTTACGGTAAGTGCATAGATGACATGGATGAAGATATCTATAAATAACAAGAACAACAGATAATCTAAAGCAAAATTTATAATCATATCTGATATACGAACTAATGAGGTAAACAAAATACTTGCATTCAATTTACCTTATTTTCACACGAATACGTATTTTAATGAAAAAGAATCAATAATAAGACAATTTCTATTTAATATCCCTTTACGATTAGTAATTATCTCATTGTTAGTCCTAAACTTATCAACTCAAGTTACTCCAAAAAAAATCAAATTGGGTAATGCAGAATATCTATAAAAAAGTATCGTTGAAATTTGGAGACAAAACTGTACACAGATCTACTTTTTCTTCGTTATTTTAATTTATTTTACAAAATATGCCACTTTGTCTTTAACCTGTGGGTTACGGTTTTTCTGTTTTACGTTCCAAAACAGTCTCGAATAAATTTTATTAGCATATAAAAGTATTCAGAAATGTTTCACAGTATGATAGTCTTGAAAACAACATATCGCACTGATGGCGTGTATCGGTATGCTTTCTCTCACATCTGCTTGAATGACTACAAACTATACAAGATTTTCGTGCAATATTTTCTGTTGAATTTCTTGAGAATTATTATTCGTAGATGTTGCCATATTCAGCGCAAAGTTTTACGTAATAGATATGAATAATAAATTTTTATGTAATTAAAAGACACGTGTAGAATATTAAGAATTAATTTTGGTTTCGTGCTAATATGTATTGCAAGATATAAGTTGCTTCTTGTTTAGAATCAACAATTTTATTTATACTAGAGAATGCATCAAAATATACTGGAAGAATGTAGAATCTGAGAAGCGAGCGCGTTAGAGTGCAAGAGAGAGCACATCACTATACGGGACGATGACACAATAATATTGTCAATATAAGAGAAAAAGAGAAGAGTCTTTTCGATGGAGGTTAAATAATGTTATAATGACGGTAATATGTGTGTCCTGTAACCAAAGAATTAAGATTATATTGTGGATTAATGCTCATATTAATAAAGATACTTCTCTTCATGTCATCACAGTTATTATTTAATGTGTATTGATATGAATTTTTTGAAAGATGTTCTTCATATTCTATTTTCTAGGTGTAGATATGGATATGGGTGTCAGTTTGAATGAGGGCGTGATCGCATATCTGTCATTCGGCTACACCCACATATCACACCCTCAATATAAATGAGCATGCAAACGAATAAGAACATCATTTTTCATGTTAACTTTATTTGATTGTAAAGAAAACAAAATTACACAAGCTGGGCAGTGTGATATCAGTTTTTGCTTTCTGCCCTTTAACATAGGTGAAAGGTGAATCTTTATCAAAAAATGAAAAAGAAAACTTCCATATATGGATATTTTCCTTTTCAGCGTTCTCTATCAATCGTGTGACAAACTACACCTTCTCCATTCTAAAGCTTCTTTTTCTTTCAAAAGAAAATAAAAACTGACATGATGCATAGCAATGATATTGAGACTGATTCAAGTGTTCTAATTCATACACTTCATCCAATAGAGAGTGAAATTGAACAATGTTACAATATAACTCGTAGTATATTTAAAGCATATGGACAGCCTGAAGACTTTACCAATAAATATATAATTGAACAAGATATGAGCGATATCCAAGAGAATTATTTAAAGTTATCACGAAGTCATTGGTGGGTAGCAACAATTGGTCAAAAGATTATCGGTCAAGCTGGTGTACAACCAAAGTCCATAGGTGACAGGACATTTTACAATAAACTAATAATGGATGAAACTTTACGATTTTACGAAGATATTCATCCGGACGAAATTTGTGAAATAAGACGAATGGCTGTGCTATCCAAATATGAAAATCAACATATTGGTCGAAAATTACTACAGACACTTATTGATTTTGCACGCACACAAGACTATAAAGCTGTTCATTTAACTACAAGTCTTCATATGAAACCAGCCTGTAATTTCTACGACCGATGCAATTTTACACGCGGTCAAATTTATCGTTATACTGTATACTCCAATGAAGTAATTAATAAGGATAAGAAGGATATTGCTGCTAATAGAGAGAAGACAGATCAATTAACAGTATTCCTTGATGCACCAGTCATATTTAATACTTTGAATGACTTAACTGATGATGATTGGGAAAAAATTAATCACCCGAAATTGATAACGCAAGTGAAATCAAAAAATGTTTATACACAAGATTTTTGGATGAAATTATAATATGTCTTATGCATTTTGTGCAAAAATTCCTTTTTAAAGCTTTCATCTTCTAACTGTATTACTCTTTTAAGTTGATTCTTTAAAATGATAGTTCATTTTATTTATTTTAAAAAGAAATAAACTGGAGAGAAATATTTTCTCTAACAAACTTAGAGGGAAACAGCGAACTTTAAGACTTCAAAAAATCTCAGAAAACTAAGTAATATGATTATACTCACCTACATCCCTCTATATCCATTTTACTCTCATGACTTGGCTCCACTCGACTATTATTTGAGGGTGTGGGTATGTTTTCTATAGTTTCAATCACACCCTCAGGCATCAGTTGATGAAATCGTATAATATTCCTTATATACATATATTTGAAATTTTTGCATTTGATCTATGAATAATTACTATTCTGGTTAAGTGCGAAAAGATGAATGAATTAATTAATGCGGACAGCTTTAAAAAGTTTCAATACTTGGAAAAAAACCAGCATGTTGACAAGTCAGTACTATTTGAAAGAAAAATTCATATGAGATATTTGTTTACATTCTCTAGAAAATATACATGGACGATAGGAAGAACATGATGAATCATTTATACTCTTGACAAATGCTTTTAGTTTCGTGATTCACTGTATGTTTTTGTCGTTTTCTTTCTTTCATCTTCTTACATCATTTTTTTCCTTACAACACTTAAGTGATTTCTTTCGTTGAATGTTTGTATTTTTCTCTTTTGCACATATTGGAATTTTCTTTTTTCAGCTCTTGACAGTGGCTATGAATATATAGTCACCATTGCTACAGGCTTTGTTTTCAAAAAAAATTAAATCAAAATTTTAACAATGATCGACGAATTTAACACAAACGACTCGAATACAACAGACACATACGCGTTTCGTTTTGGCACGTCCAATCAAATTATTTATCTCAGTCAACAACAACTTGATCTTATACCATATCTAAGCGTTCTTGTGACACATAAAGATGATTTTTTACCTGTTCAAAATGATAATAGTGAATTTGTCTTAAATAACCCGATTAAATACTCATGGTTCATATCTATTCTTCGTTCAATAAATTCTTCACATTCATATACATTATTTAACGAAGTGTCAGAAAATGACAATATCTTGAATGTACTGTACTTATCGGATTATCTTGGTCTTCAACCAGTGCCGCTACCTTATCTAAAAGAAGAAAATTTAGTCTTATCGAATCATACCATTACCGACGAAGAACAACAACGCATTCATTATCACAGGGCTAATCTATCCGAAATACGACAAACGGCAGCCGAATTCATCATTGCTGTTGCGAGAAATGAGTACCAACTGAATGATTTTCATACAAGAAAATTGATCTTATCTTTATTAAACATCATTCTCTTGCATCCAGCTATTTTCAACGCACGATTTCGACATCATACATTTTCAATAGCAAAACAACGCTGTTATCCATATTTATTGAACAATGAGCAACAGCATTTACATTCTTGTTATAGTAGTACCCAGAAACGAGAGAGAAAACATTCGATATATTTGTCTGATGATCATCAATATGTTCCCGATCAATCTATCAATGCATTTGCTTGGAAAGGTGTTTCTTTGTCGAAAGAAAAACAAGCTTCTTGTAAGAATTTTCAAATTGCAAACATTAAGAAAGATTCTAATGAAATGAATAGTCGGAAAATGAAGTTGAATGATCTAATAAGACAAAAAGATGCCTTAGAAAGAGAATCCAATGATTTAACACGACAAAAAAATGCTTCAGAAAGAAATTTGAGTGATCAAAAAAGAGAAATGAGCCTTCTAGAGAGACAAATGAGCGACCTAGAGAGAGAAAGACGTAATCTAGAAAGAGAAATGAACGACCTAGAGAGAGAAATAAGCGATTTAGAAAGAAAAAGACGCAATTTAGAAAGAAAAAGAAGCGATCTAGAAAGCAAAATGAACGACCTAGAAAGAAAAATGAGCGACCTAGAAAGGAAAAGACACGATCTAGAAAGAGAAATGCGTAATCTAGAAGGGGAAAGCCACGATCTAGAAAGAGAAATAAGTAATCGAGAAAGACAAATAAGCGATCTAGAAAGAAAATTGAGCGATCTAGAAGGACAAATCCATGAAATTATTTTATCGCTTCACATCGACTTATACCCTGGAAAAAATCGACGAAAGAATGAAGCACGATTAACTCGAGCGAGATATTTGAACAAGTTACCCGAGCAATCCAAGGCTGGCAGATTCAAATATCGATCCGGTCCGAAGGCTCAAAAACATCAATAAAAGTTTGTTTCTTTATCAAAAATATGTGAACGTAATTTTTTGTATACATTAAACAAGATTTATTTTGAGAAGTTTTAATAAAATTTCAAACATTAGATTGACTATTTGATTTTCTATCGCGACTCAATATCTGATAAAAAAATTTTTGATAGAAGGGTGTGTATTAGCCAAAGGTTAAGGTCCATATCCACACCCACAATCACCCTCACGATAGTTCAGTGACTCTATCAAGTTCAACAAGAAAATCCTATTGAAAATATCTTCTGTTGCAGTTTAGTGATGGATAAATATGGATTTCTTTATATATTTGATCGAAAGACACATGAATTAAGAAGATGAAACAAGGGAGAAGTCAAAGAAAAAGAAGGAACATTAGGTACTAGAAAAAATAGATATGGAGATTAACTCAATAAAGGGTGTGGGTGTGGGTGTACGAGTATATCTTCTTCAGTCGCCCCTACACCCACTCACACCCTCAAATAAAAATTATTTCTTATTTAGATTAAAGAAAATAATTTACTTCAATTGATATCAATGATTTTTCTAATAGATAATATAAAATTTGTGATTTACTTTCGATTGTTTGTCGAATTTGTTGTATATTTGCTTTAAGTAATGAAATTCGATTAAGAAATGTATTTAAATTATTGAATGAATTAAATAAACAAATATCAACAACTAATACCATTAAAACTTGATTATAACCCTATTGAAAATCTTGTTGTTCTAGCAACAGCGTATACTTTATTGCATGCATTATGTTCTATAGGCTGAGTAAAATATTCATCGAACATAATGTTGTTAGTATGAATCATAGAAAAACACTACTGTTTGCTGATGATACCGAATAAAAACTGTATCTTCGAATTTTGTGTTACATTAATATCGATTTGTCCTGACAAGGATGATTATATATTCTACTTATAATAAACATCCGTCATAAAGGACAAACTGACTCGATAGAAGATACTTATTCAACACAGAAAATCGAAGCAATGATTTATTATTTTATTATTTATAGTGAACATATTGATATTAGTCAATAGAAGAGCCTAACAATTAGATTTAATCAAAATAATGGTGAAAGAGAATAAAACAAGTCCTTTACGTAACATTGATTCCTTTCATAAATTTATTCAATCTTGATTAATATATTATGACATACTATAGACGACTAAAGACGTACATCAACAAAGAAATATTCTAATCTGTTGTGATAGAAGCATGATATTATATACAACGACATTTTGTTTTTGACCTATCATTGCTAATTAAAGAAACAATTGTCGATTAGACGAAATAAAATCTTCTATTTCACTCGATTATCATAATGATCTGAGAATTCTAAATTCGTGTTGTTCTTACAATTTTATCGGTATTTTATTTTTTAATAAAACAATAATTGGGTTACAAAATCTGTTGTGTTTTACTAGCAATTTAAGATATTCCGACTTCCAAAATTCAAGATTCGTTTTTAGCATTATTTTGGCAATTGTTAGTTCTGTTTCCGTAAGAATTTCAAAAATGTAGATTTGTGTGCTAATCCTGAAATTTGCTTGTAAATAAATTATTTAGTTTGGTTTTCTAAAATTATATTTCTATAATGTCTCGAAGTTTATGTGACATTTTTCTGTTATATATATATCAGAGACCGAAACGAAGCGGGGATTCGGGGCGGGGAATCGAGGCGGGGAGCACTTTTGGCGAGGCGGGGCGAGGCGAAGGAACGTTTTCAAAGTGGCGAAGCGAAGCGGGGAAAAGATGCAAAACACGAGGCGAGGCGAGGATTAGTTCTCAAACCCGACATTTCCTCGACTTAAAATTTTATCGAAGTTTTGTCAAAAAAAGCACTAAATACACAAAAAATCATGGTATTTGTT